TAGGGAAAGGCAAGTAGATGGGAGCAGGGGAGTTGAGAGGAAGAGGAAAGAAAAGAGGTTAACAAGGAGAAAGATGGCTGGAGAGTAGCGTGATGCAGAGCGAGTGAGGCAGGATCTGGGAAGTGTGAAGGGGAAAGTCTATTAAAAGATCTATCCATCCATCTTGGATGCTTTTGAATAACAGCTAAACCACAGACCACTTAAATAAACTGCAGCTTACAAAGGGAACCACATCTGTGCTGCCAGAGCATCTCCACTTGGAGGTTTTCTAAGCACTTTACAAACATTTGCAAAATTAAGCCTCATGCCACATCCCATTAGGGCAAGCAGACGTTCATCTGGATTTGGGGTATTTTTACAGATGCAAAATGCACTGCCAGGTTAAAGGTGACTGATCCTCAACAAAACCTGCTACAGCACTTCTATCACGTGTCCAATGGCCCGGACAGTAAGGGAGGAGAATAAAGTTATAAGATTAGTGGCAGGGGCAGCTCAAGAGGCTTATTCATCTCCGAAATGTTTAATGCATTCAAGTCCTATTCCTTGTGGTTCTCAGCAGCCCGTCTACACGAGACACTTATTGGCAGTAGCCTAATAACACTGCAGTAGCACGTCACAGGACAGACCGTGCTAATGCACTACTGCGCAGTATTATTAAGCTACTGCACCATAGCGTCCCTAAAAAGGCATTCGGTGCTACTGCATTGTAACTGTAGCTACGTTGCATTTACTTAGTACTTCATTAAGCAAGTACTAAATTAAATGTGCAGTAACTACTGTGCATTAATGAACGTGTAGATGCAGCAAGTGTCTACTAGCCTCGCGCTTTATAGTGAAAAGTGAGCCTTTGGGCAAGGCAGGTGTAAACACTAAATTGTAGAGGATTGAGGTTAGTTGAGAAGTAGCAGAATCCGGAAACCTTAACCTGGCACAGAATAGTGCTGGTTTGGTGAAAGCAGTTAAATATAGATAGATATATAAAAATAGTAAGCTTATAGTGTGTGTGTGTGTGTGTGTGTGTGTGTGTGTGTGTGTGTGTGTAGTAATTTTCCTTTTGTGGGGTTATTTGGGTGCAGTTTTGAGAAAATTTGCCAAAGTCAGAAAAATTTCAACCAGAGGAGAAAAAGAAAAGCAAGTTAATAAAAATTCTAAATCCCAGGTAGTTTAACCATTTCTAGCACTGAGTGGTAATCCAGGGACTGCCAGAGATGCTCCTGTGCTATGTGTTTTCCAAGGTGACAGATGATTGTTGCACACTTCCCTAATTTCCCTGTGTTTAGTTGATGTTGTGCTGTTTTGGGAGAAACCTAGTGTTTAAAATATTTTATTTTAAAGGAGCAACAGGGTGCAATTTGGTACCTTGCCTTCCATTACAGGTCACTTGGTAGCTCATACAGCAGCTTGGGGCTTATCTGCAAGCGACCGTGTAGCGTCAAGTCAGCTGTGTCACCGGTGGGTCTGAACGAAGTAACTCATGCTATGGACATCTGTAGTCCTGAGTGACTCCAGCAGCTTCACTTGGTATCGAGCCACCCCACCGCCTCGTGCACTTACTCTCTGTTTTCAGATGGTGAAATTGCCACAGAGAGATCAAGTGATGTGCCCAAGGCTAGGCAGCCTGGTCGGTGGCAGAGAGGCCAACAGAGGAAAGAATAGATCCTGACATCACTGGGGTCTACTCCTTCCTCCCAGAACTATTTGCCACATCTGCATTTGAACATGTGGATCTCAGTCCAGCCTCCTCAGTCACCGATGACTTCCCGAAGGCCGTCATCCTCATCTCAAGGGACTGCTGATGATGATACAATTAAGTCCATTTAACCCATGTGCTACACTGCACAGTCACCCTCTTGCATTGAGTTTAGTGCGCTCCCCTGTCATGCACACGCATCCCATAAAGGAAAGCCAACCCCTTGGCCTGCCAATTCCCTGCTCCCTGGCTCCCCACCATGTCCCCAGCTCTGTAGGATGGCAGAGAGGAAAACGTGCTGTTTCCGTATAATCCCCGCTGCCTTTTCAGCTGTCTGAGCATGGGGCCCGTGGGTATTAGTGTAGCATTGCTTATGTCGTGCTCTGTGTTCATTAGTAGCAGAGGCTGGGTAACTGCGAGTGAAACCTCCCCTCCAAACAGCTCTCCCTCTTCTTTCCTGAATGCCTTTCCCTGAAAGCTCTGGAGAGCCGTGCTATTTTTGAGCATCACTCCGTTTTAGCTTCACACCAGCCTGGCAACTGCGCTGTCAATATTTTATATGGCATGCCCCCCTCCGTTTACCGTTGGAAGGCTGCAGATTTGCGTAACCAAAGGAGAGGGACGGGGAAAGGGAGGAGACTTTTTAGGGGTGAAAAACACCCCTTTCTTCTCTTCTGAGAGGGGATCTTGGACACAAGCTGTCTCTTCAAAACCTCCTGTCGGCGAATGCAGAAGACTAAAGGAGATCTGCGGGTGCCCCTGCCGACGAAAGCAGTCTGGAGCGGAGGGCATGCCGGGACGCTGCCAAATAAAAAGTCACACTTAGCTCAGAGAACTACATATTGTTGTTACAAGTCAGTCAGGGCTACAGCAGGGTGGCCGTAATGGAAACCGGGGAATAAGGGCTTGCTTCTCATTTGTGCAAAGGTCCCTTTATACTTCTCAGGGCCTTTAAGGAACCCGAAATAGTTTGTAACTAAGAATTTGGCCCGGGCATTATGTATTTTCATCAGGTATTTCTGGTTTACTTTGTGCAGATTCTGGGTCTAGGTGGTTTTGCTGCAAGTGTGTGTGTGTGTGTGTGTAAGCCAGGCTCAGAGCTGCAGGGGAGATTGTTAAAAATAGGAAAGTGTTTCTGTCGAAGTGCAAAAGTGCATACAAGACTTGTAGTAGAGATGATCTCTTTTATTAGACCAACAAGATTTTTGCAAAAAAAAAATCTGTAATTGCATACATCCATTGGAAGGGGAGCGGCAAAGGCAAGCCAAGTATCTGCAAACTGCCCGCAACTCTTCTTCTTTCTTCGATTCTCCTTTTAAGTGATTGCATTGCAAAGTCCTTATCACATCAAGCCAATCCCATCACATGCAGACAGGCTGAGTCAAACTCCAGAGTGATTTTTATTGTGGCTGGGCGACTGGTCTGTCACCTTCCTCTCCCCTACCCCATCACTGGCATTTCAGGAGGTTTTAGAAGCATTTAAAATCTTTTTCTTTTGGCAATCTGTTCAGCTCGGCTAATAGTTTTCTTGGCAAGAGTGAATCTCCACTTGGGGAGCATTTATAGGGAATGACTTCCCCTGGCACGTATTTGGCTTTGCTGGTGACTTCCTACGCATCCGCGTGCCTCAGTTTTCCATTCATAAAATGGCAATGATAATTTTTCTTTCCTGGTCCTGGCCCATTTTACAAATTTAGTCTTTAAACTCTCTGCAGCCGGGGCTGTTTGGTGCTATGTCTGTGTACCCCTCCTGGTGCAAAGGAGTTGATCTTGATTGGGACCTTTTGACTCGGGTCTGACACAAATGCATGAAAAGGAAGAAGTGAAGGACCTGTTGGCTCTTACATCTCCTTACCCAAGAAGGTTGTGACGACTGCCTGGCACTTGCAAGCCCTACTAAGACACAAATAATGAATGGTTATATGCTGTTAGCTGTAAAACACTGCTCTTCTCTACCTTAAAATGAATAAGCCAGAGCAATGAAAGTTCAGAGTCATAACGACAAAGACAAAGCCCCTTAGCCAGTATAATGGACCCCATTCTTGTCCTTTATTTCAGGGGTTTTGGGTCAGATGCACCACACTGTTTGTCCAGTTCCCTGCCAGATGCTGTTAAAGAGAGCAGGATCTGTTAGTCTTGCTCTTGTCCCTTCCCTGAGCAGAGCAAGGCATTTCCTAAGGGTCAGTACTTTTGCACTCCTTTTTGCTTCTGATACGCAAGTCCAGGGGCAGGTTTGATGGGCTTCAGAAACCAGCCCCTTGTCTATGAACTTCCTGCCCTGCTTTGGAAGGGGAGCCCACCTCTGGCCCGGCGAAACGGCATTCATCGCTCGTGCTGTGGTATTATCATCGTGGCCGAGCCGTTACGGTAAAGAGCCCTGCACGCTCTGGAATTGGAAAGGATCGTTTGCTAAGTGCAGCTGGGCCTTGGCTTCTTGACCTCCCGGTTTTCCCAGAGTCCTTTCAGAGGCACGGCCGCAGGAGGGGAACGGCACTATTGTGTGAACAGGAACCTAGAAAGCTTGTAACCAGAGAGCCTGCGAAATCCTGCGTCACGGGGGTAACCGATCTGGAGGAGTCTCCGGGACCCTGTAGCGTGTTAGCATTGCCATAAGTGCTGCCCTTTGCTCTGCCTTGGAAGTGGAGTGGCTGGAATTGCTTCAGCATGGCTGGGGAGTGGGGGGGGAAGAGGCAGGGCTAGCAAGATGGCCAAGAAATTAGGTAATTTTCAAGCAGCCAGACTAGCAACTGTTATAGTAATTAATTGGCTAATTCACCATACAAACAAGGGCTCTTTAAACAGAGGAAGAGCTGGCCACGTGATGTGGATCTGCTTTCAGTCAGGGAAAATGCTTCAAACGCGAGGCCGTGGAGGGAGACGTGGCCGTATCTGATGGCCCAGGCATAGTAGCAAACCTGCCTCTGTCGCTGTGGGGTCCGGGCCTTTAGGAAGGTTGCCCATGCCTGTAGCTGGACGCTCCTCAGAGGTGCAACCTGTTGCACTTCAATGCACTGAGTTACTGCATTGGACTCTGGGCAGTGGGGATTTTTTTTACCTGACATTGCTGATGCCCTTGGCATCCCGTGATATGCCCCAATGCAGAGGGGTGCACACAGTGTTGAGCACCAGGTAGAGCCCTGGACTGAGGACTCTGGGTCCTGCCCTGTATTTTTGACTGTAGGCACAGTGCATGTTCCCTCCATGCCTCAGTTTTCCCATCAGGAAATGGAGATAAGGCTACTCTTGCCTTTGAAATGCCACTGTGAAATGCTCTGTATAAATTCCCAGGAATTTATAGGAATATGCTGTACTGGTATTACACGGGACTGTGCCCAAGCTAGGGGGTTGTACTGTGCCCATATCAAACCATCATCATGAAACTGGGGTAAGAATGGTATTTAGCCACCCCAGCTCGATCTCTGGTTCGGTGTGTGTACAGCCCCTAGCACAGGCCTGGGGGTGCTTCTGCTGTACAGATAAATAGTAATGGTTCATTCACCAGCACAAATTGTGCTCCAGCTTCCCCCTTTGCAAAATGAGGCTAATAACACAGAAATAGCACACAGCTCGACTGCACCTGTAACGTGCTGAGGTCTAACGGGGGGTGCACGCTCTTTCTCAGGCTAAGCTCCCTTTGACTTGAGTGGAAAATTACCCTGAGGGAGAGTTGCAGGACTGTTTTTATTCTTCGGTAGGGCACTTGCCCACTACTTTTCTTTGAGGCACAGGAGCCCCACCTGATACTCTAGAGCTCATAACAGGGTTTTAATCCAAAGTGTTTTGGGTTGTGTCTTGGAGCCGGGGGTGTCGTATAAACCTGGCAACCACCTTCCTGTAGCAATACTTGCTGCAGGGTCCATTGGCAGGTGACATGGAGCTTTTGACAACACTTAATTAGCCACGTGCTTATGTAAAGCACCTAATCAAGGTCCGACTGAGCTAGTACCTGCTTCGTCTTAAGCAATTTGTCTCAACAGTTCATCTCTCTCTCTTCCAGGCGGCTGAATAACAACGAGCTGACAACCATCCCATCTTTGGGGGCTGCACCTTCCACCGTCGTCTCCCTCTACCTGTAAGTCCTTGCTCCCTCGCGCCTGGTTTGTTTGGTTTTTTGGTCATCAATTGTCTGTTGTCCGCTGTTGGGGTAGTTTAGGTGTCACACTCCTGGCAAGCATGCTCATGTGGTCTTATTGAGAACCCGGTGATGTATTTTACTGCAGTGAAGATGCTCTGGGTTTGACCTGCCACAAAGCACTGCCAAGGGTTTCGGGGGGTGGAATATATAGACCTCAGCTTTGGGGCGGTCTGAAATATTTCCTCTCCTCCATCCCAACACTTGCAGGACCTCGTTGAAAAGGAGCTGCCACATGGAGCAGATAAGCAGCCTCCCTGTTCAATCATCTGACATTACCAGGTGCCCGAGTACAAGATCTGCAAGTCCCAATACGAGCAGACAGTCTGCCCTTAGAAGTTTCTCCCTAACCCTTTTAGTTAGTGGCCGGCTTATATTCATGCACATGCTTAAAGGCTTCAGTCCCTTCTTGGCTTTTTATAGGATGCTCTCATCCTCCGCATAAATGTCTCGTCCCTTAAGTTTACGGTTTGCAATGGTAAGTCTTACAGGTTGGTTACACATTGGGTAAAATATAGATTTTTTTTTTTCATCAGCAGCTTTCAATCCCATTGACTGGTGCCTGCTCTTGTACTATTTGGGAGTAGGTAGGAGCACTTGATTTTACCTTTTCAGTTTCCTTTCCTTTATCATATTTCCTCTTCTCTTTAAAAATAAACCCCAAAACCTAGGGCTGGCTATATATTTGATCTTTCTTCCCCAAACTCCTTCTGGGCCACTGATCATTTTCACGGACCACTGTGGATCTCTCCTTTTTTTTTAAATTCTTTGGAGGTGGTGGCCAGAACTGATCACAATGTCTCCAGTGGGCAGTGCTGTGGGTCAATGTAACAGCAGTATAATGCCATCAAAACTTTTTTCTATCCCATTCCTTAGGCACCCTGTGATTTTGATTGTTTTGCCTGTAATGCACATTATACAGTTTTTTCATGAAGATGCCTGCTCTCCTTCTAGGAAGGTCACATTTGATACAGAAGCAAGCGATTCGTTGAGCAATTGAAATAATTGCTTCCAGTGTGCATTATCTTGCATCAATAAACATTGGTTGGGTATCTTCCTCTACCTTTTTTTTACGATAGATATTGCTCATGTCAGTACCACCAGATAATTTTTAACTGTGTGACCTAAGATGCTCTGAAGGCTTTGAAGCAACCTTGATATGCTGACTAAAAATACATTTCTCTTACCTAAATCGAGTGCAGAATGTGAGTGAAACAAATTGGCCATGTTCCTGCTCTTCCATTAAGCAGTGTTAAAATATGTAAAGCAGAACTCCCTCATTGTCTTAATTCAGTTGAGGGAACCGAGGTTAGAATTGGCAGCTGCAGCTCTCTCCTGGCCTGAAATGAATTTCGTTTTAGTTTTTTCTTTGAATTATAGAAAATGAGGGTCCAACCCCCTGCTCAAAGAAGGACCAGCCCAACTCGTATCATCCCAGCTGGGGCTTTGTTGAGCCAGGCCTTAAAAACCTCCAAGGATGGAGATCCCACCGCCTCTGGGTAACCTGTTCCGGTGCTTCACCACCCTCCAAGTGAGAGAGTTTTTCCTGTTATCCAACCTAAACCTCCCTTGCTGAAGTTTGAGCCCATTGCTCCTTGTTCTGTCATCTGTCACCACTGAGAACAGTCCAGCTCCATCTTCTTTGCAACCCCCTTCAGATAGTGGAAGGCTGCTATTCAATCCCCCCTCGGTCTCCTCTTCTCTAGACTAAGTAAGTCCAGTTCCCTCAAACTCTCTGCATAAAAGTTATGTTCCCTGAACTATTCTTGTTGCCCTCCACTGGACTCTCTCACCAGTTTGTCCACATCCTTTCTGTAGTGGGGGGTCCACAACTGGACAGAGGACTCCAGATGTGGCCTCACCAGTGCTGAACAGAGGGGAAGAATCACTGCCCTCAGTTTGCTGGCAACGCTGCTACCAATGCAGCCCTAGGATGCTGGTAGCCTTCTTGGCAACAAGGGCACGCTGCTGGCTCATATCCAGTTTATTGTCCGCTGTCACCCCCAGTCCTCTTCTGCAGAGCTGCTGCCCAGCCAGTCACCCCCAGCCTGCACCGGTGCATGGGATTGTTTCCTCCTAAGTGCAGGACTTTGCACTTGTCCTTGTTGACCCTCATGAGATTTCTTTTGGCCCAAGCCTCCAATGTGCTGAGGTCACTCTGAGTCCTAGCCCTGTCCTCCAGTGTATTTACTACTCCCCCCAGCTTGATGTCATCTGCAAACTTGCTGAGGGTGCACCGCATCCCATCTTCCAGGTCATTGATGAAGACATTGAACAAAACCAGGCCCAGGACCAACCTCTGGGGCACTGCACTTGAAACCGGCTGCAATCAGGGTCCTTTCCTTGCCCTTTGAAATGGAAATACCTAAGATCTTAGCACTGGGTGTATACCACACTCATGCGTCGGTGCTCCTGTCTTCCCACCAGTCCTGGATGTAGCGAGAGCGCTCCAGCTAGAGGTCTTAGGACCTTGTTTGGGAAGGAAGAGTACGTGGTGGCTTGAATCCCAGCACTTGTGGGTTGACAGTTTGCTCACAAGTTTCTCAACCTGGCTGCAATTTTAGGTGTCCAAATAAGACCCTAAAGTACCATTTCCTCAATGTTTCTGAAGGCACCTTAATAAGTAGCTAGGGTTTCCTGAGATCCCAGCCAACTCCCTGCTATTGCTTTTGTGTTTAATCTAGGCAGTGGATGAGAATCAAGATCCTCATCACTACACTTTGCTTTGGAGTCGGAGCGTAGACATTTCATGCCCAGAACAAAATGAGCTCTTTGGAGAGGAGGAGTCATTGACTACCAGCAGCCAGATTTGCTGTTCCTCTGAAATTTCAGCACGGTACAGAAGGTGCCAGGGCAAATGATAAAAGGACAATAACCTCCACAAATCTGCTTAGTATCACTTTCCTGAAATCTGTACTGCTTTCCTCTGCTGCCTTGCGATAGTTGGATTTGTGCTATTCCTGTCATAAGGATCCCATTGTCTGCTCTGTTGTTCGGAGAACATGGCAGGCTGGGCGTTTCATCTCCATTCTTATCACAGGGAAAGCACATTTAAAGTCATCTTTACTCACAGATGCTACCCACGGATGAAGTAGCCAGTGGAATAAATTACCAAGGGAAATGGGGCCGTCTTCATCGGTAGCAGCTTGGAAATGTGTCGTCTTAACGCCAGTGTCCACCACAAATAAGTGGCTTTGAGACATAGGTTCATTGGGTAGATGTGATATCTTTTATAGACCAACTAAATAGTTGGAAAAAATAAGAGACACGAATTCCTAGGTAAAATGCCCTGGCGCTGGGATGTGGGAAGTCATCTGGATGGTTGTAGTGATCTCTCCTAGCTTCCAAACCTGTTAATTTATAGGTAGGGATTTTGCTAACTCTAATCCGGGATAAAGACTGTGAATTGAATCCTAAGACATTGAGTGTCTGGTATAACAGCGTATTCCTGCAGTTAAAGGGAAATAAATAAATTCCTGGTTTTTCAAATGTTTATAAACACATGAAGTGTGTTTACCTCCGAGACCTCTCAAGTAGGTTTGCATGCATTCATGCGTTTAAGTGTTTCCAAAAGCGCGTTAATGTATATTATCAGAGGAGTAATGGCATCATTACTGTCCGTCTGATGGTCCTTTCGGATGAGTTATATGGCGCTCTGTCTACCTGAATTTGAGGAGAAAAAAATAAAGCACCCTTACTGCCAGAAATATCTTTAGGAGACTTGCCAAGGAGCTGAAGCAATGGGGGAAAAGCTGGCCACAGCCAAGAGTTTCCACAGTGATTTTTTTGGTTTGCCTCGGTGTTTGGGTGCCCCGGCTGAGGTGCATTAAAGGGACCTGGTTTCCGGATGGTGAATGCAAAATACTTTGCCAGGCATGTCCTTTTAGAGTGTCTGAAATCACCGAATTGCAGACAATGAGGGTGGGAAGGGACCTCAGGAGGTCACATCTCATCCAACCCCCTGCTCCAAGCAGGACCAGCCCCAACTACATTATCCCAGCCAAAGGTTTGTCAAGCCGGGCCTTAAAAACCTCCAAGGATGGAGAGTCCACCACCTCTATAAGTAACCTGTTCCAGTGCTTTACTTCCTGCCTAGTGAGAGAGTTTTTCCTAATATCCATCCTCAACTTCCCTTGCTTCAACTTGAGCCCGTTGCTCCTTATCCTGTCATCTGCCACCACTGAGACCAGCCCAGCTCCATCGTCTTTGCAACCCCCCTGCAGGGAGGTGAAGGCTGCTATTCAGTCCCACCTTGGTCTTCTCTTCTGCAGATTAAATCAGCCCATTTCCCTCAGCCTCTTCTCAAAAGTCATGTCCCCCAGCCCCCAACCATTTTCCTTGCCCTCCACTGGACTTTCTCCAATGTGTCCACATCCTCTCTATAGTGGGGGGCCCAAAACTGGACACAGGACTCCAGATGTGGCCTCGCCAGTGCAGAATAGAGGGGAAGAATCACTGCCTTCAATCTGCTGGCAGCGCTCCTACCAGTGCAGCCCAGGATGGTGTTACCCTTCTTGGCAACAATGGAGCAGGCACAATTGCCTGAACTGTTAGCCCAAGTGTTAGTGAAATCATTTGAAATAACTACCTTTCTGAAGAGGTTCATCTCAACCTCCCTGCCTTTTAAACACTTTTATTAAGTTTCTCTGCCTGATTTCTCGCATCCAACATGGTACCAGGTGAATGCCCAAGGCAGTTTTCTTCTGTTGATTTCTGCTGGTGGACACGACTTATGCTAAACGTATGAGTCTTCTAGGAAGGTTTGCATGGGCCAGTACATCTAATCTACAAATGAGGCTTGTTTTTTTTTTGGAGATGCAGTATGGATAGGGGCAGAATTAAATATGGCAAAAGGACCTAGCTCTCCGTCTGTGCCAAGGGGTTAACAGTGCTGTCCTGCTGCCCAGTGAATAGAGATTGTGAAGAGCTCAAATGTTATA